CCGCGGGCGGATGGGCCTCAGCCGGCCAGCGAAACGCCCCCTCGGCGGACGCCAGGCAGAACGCGAGACACCGGCCGGCGCAGTCAGTCACGCGGCGCGACGGCCTCTCAGCAGAACGTCATCTCCCGGCGCCGCCACGATGCGATACGGAAGCCGACGAGCCTCGCTGCGTCGTCCCGTCACTCCGACTCTCGGGCTTCGCCCCGAAGCCGCCCGAAGGCGCGGCCGCCACCAGCTGAGCTAGCTTGCCCGCCGAGGCCCCGCCCCGCGCCCGCGGGCGCCGCCATGTTGGGGGTCCTCGCCGGGGGCGCATAGGCGTCCTCATAAGATGCCGGCCGGGGCGCGCGGCGGCCCCCAAGATGGCGTCCATGCGGGAGAGCGACACGGGCCTGTGGCTGCACAACAAGCTGGGCGCCACGGACGAGCTGTGGGCGCCGCCCAGCATCGCGTCCCTGCTCACGGCCGCCGTCATCGACAACATCCGCCTCTGCTTCCACCGCCTCTCGTCGGCCGTGAAGCTCAAGTTGCTGCTCGGCACACTGCACCTCCCGCGCCGCACGGTGGACGAGGTGAGGCGGCCGGCCGCGCTCGCCCGGTCCGCGCCGCTCCTGCCCGCCCTCTCGCCCCCGGGGGACGCCGCCTGCACCCCGTCGTCTTCCTCGACCCTCCCTCCGCCAGCTCCCCCGTCCCCCCGCACCCCGTCCTCTCCCCTCACGTCCTCCCCCATACCCCGTCCAACAGATGGACCGCATCCTTCCCCGCACTCCGTCCTCCCGCGCTGGACCCCGTCCTCCCCCCAAGACCCTCCCGCCTGCGCCTCGGCCGCCAGAGTCTTCGTCGGTGGCGGTGGGCGTCGCCGCTGCGGTCGGGGTCGTGGAGGCGACCCCTGGCGGAGGTGCCGGGCCGCTGCGGGCTGCGGGGCGCCCCGCCGAGGCCCGCGCCGTCGCCGGTCGGGCGTGGGCGTGCGGGTTTGCCTGGCGGCTGTCCCCAGCGCTTCAGTGCGTCGCTCTCCGCGCAGAATACTGAAGCGCCAAGGTGGTCTGAACTCTCCAGGCCGCTGTGATGTCGCCTGTGCGCCGTCGTAGGTCCTAAGTGGCCCCTCGTGAGCTGTGGCACGCGAGCCCGGCTGTGGCTGTGGGTTAGGGTCGGCCGCCGGGCCCCGCCCTCCTCAGAGCTCCTCCTCCCGCGGCCGGTGGCTGCCTACGCCCCTTTCCACACGGGAGGTTCCCTCGTGCCTAGTGGGAACCTAGTGTTGCGGTATCAGGGGGGCTCACTTGTGTCCTGCTGGCACGCTGGCGGATTCGTGCGTAGTGCACCTTCCCAAGATCCGGCATGCTCCCCCTGCCACCTCAGGGAGGCACTGAGGCCCTGCCATGCTCTCGTGTTCTTGTGAGTGGTGCAGTCGCCAACATCGACCCTGGTCGGGGGACTCCTCACAATACAGTGCTCAGGAGCAGGTGTGGGGGTGTTAGGGTTATGCCAGGTTGTTTTTAGAGTGATCGTATCAAATAGTGCTCCTCTCCAAAGCCTGTCCCTTGTGTTGGCATGAGCATATTACTAGATGGTTTAATTTATATCTTCGTTATCACTGATTTGGTTAAACGTTTTTTCATGAGTTTATTTGCTGTTTGCTTTTCTTTTTGTGAATGTTCAAAACTATTTCCTGGTTGTCTTTCTTAATTGCTTTGTAGCAGGTGGAGGGTTTAAGAAATGCTGGGTGCCATCCTGACGCAGCGGCATAGGATCCAGCATCTCCCAGCTGCGGCTCCACTTGCTTGCATCTGTGGTTGGGCAGAAGCTCTTGCGTTCACCCACTCTGGGTGCTGGTCTGGCCCTTTTGGGAAGGGCCCCCCCACCGAGGCCAGGGCCCAGCCCTTTCCCTTGGCAGAGCTGTGTGGCTGTGCCCTTTTTCTGGAGCCTTCAGTTTGCCCGGAGTTGTCAGCTGGTGAAGCTGGGTGTGGTTTTTCCATTTCCACAAAGGTGTCCAGATGAGTGTCCAGTACTACTGATTGCAATGACTGTCCTTTTCTGTGCGCTCACAGTCACTCTGCTGTGGGTCTTTTCCCGCCTCTGCTCATGAGCATTTGTGTATTGCTGTGCTTGTTCTAAGTCAGTTCCTAGTCTGGGCAGCTAACCAACAGGGCCGACTCTCCTACTTTGTTCCTCAGGTATGTCTTTGACTTTTCCCAGCCTTTGCACTTCATTATGTGCTGCAGCTCATGGATCTACTAATAACAATTTCACTTTCTGTTACTGGTATATACAACTGTAGATATCAGCTTTTAGATAATGAGTTTGAATCACATACATGTTGGAAGTATCATTAATTGCAATACTTTTTCTGTAGAATCTTAATTTTTCTGTGAGCTTAAAATGGATATCTTTTCTTCTCTGGTCACCAGAAATCTTTTGTACATTCTTATTTCTGATCACACAATAAGAACTTTGAATGTTTTGACAATAAGATTTTGGTTTCCTGTTTTCTCATGGACATGCCCTTTATCTGGTCAAGGAAATTCTTTTTTTGTTGTTCATCAATTTATTTTGCAGGGCTAGAGCCTGTAAAAACTCAGGGCCTCACACATGCTAGGTGAGTGCACTAAAAATGAGGCACATCCCCAGCCCAAGGAGATTTTTTATATTCCTAGGGAGTTTTTAAAAAATTCTTTTAATTATGAATGAGATGTTTGGTTTGTTTTTCCTTTTCCTGATAAGGAGTCTTGCTCCATTGCCCAATGGATTAGTAAACTTTTTTTTTTTTTTAATTTCTTTAGTTTTAGGTGGACACAGTATCTCTATTTGACGTTTATGTGGTGCTGAGAACCGAACCCAGGGCCTCACGTGAGCCACCTCCCAGACCCACAGTAAACTTTTTCATTGTTGTGACTAAAGACCTGACAAGAACAACATAGAGGAGGAAACGTCTGTTGGGGTTCATGGTTTCAGAGATTCAGTCCAGACTCCATCGTTCTGGACCTGAGGTGAGGCAGAACCTCATGGCTCAGAACTTCAAAGGATGTGGAGAGGAGAGCCACTCAGGACATGGCACCCTGAAGCAGCAAGAGAGCTCTACTCACCGGAGACTAGATGTAAGCCCCAAGGGCACACTCCCAGGGACCTACCTTCTGCAGCCACACCCCACCTCGATGGCTTTCCCAGAGGGTGAGGGGATAGGTTCCCATGGGAGGGATGGGCTGGCTGCAAAATAAAAACCATGAAAGTAGAACCACCAAATAGACATGAAAGACCAGAAATGTATTTTTCAGAGCAAGGGCAGTAACGGGTTAGGCTGACTGGAGTGGTAGGCTTCTAGCAAAGATGGAGCCTGCTTGCTTTATTTATAGCGGACAGATCCCAGGGGACGGGTAGGTACTAGGTTTCAGTGTGGGCCCCCTCAGGATATGGGTAGGGTGAGCAGCCAGTTGGGCTCTTCCTAGGCCACGCCCGTCTCCAGGACTGTGCTAGACTGGAGCAGTGAGCTAGGTAGGACGCAGTGTGAACCAGGGGTTCTCAGCCCCCTGAAGAGTTCCTGATGCCAGGCTTTCCTGCCTGATGGCTCCAGCATCACTCAGTCCACAATTCACAATGGCTCCCCACACCCACCTGCCTGTAGTCACACCCAATTAATCTATTCAAGTGGAGACACTGAGTGGGCTAAAGCTTTTGCATCTATTCATTTCACCTTTAAACTTCCTTGCATTGTCTCACCCTTGAGCTTTGGAGGACACCTCAAATGTAAACCATGTCACCCAGGCTGGTCTTCAGTTCCTGCATCCAGGTGATCTTTCTGCCTCAGCCTCCTGACTCCTGGGACCCAGTCATGCACAACCACACCCAGCTTGAATGAGGTTTTTGGTTTTGTTTTTGTTTTGAGGAGGGCGCTTAGCCCCCAGCACTTTATTTTATATATTATTTAGAGACAGGGTCTCACTGAGTTGCTTAGTGCCTCGCTAAGTTGCTGAGGCTGACTTTGAACTTGTTAGCCTCCTGCCTTGGCCTCCCAAGCCACTGGGATTAACAGGCATGTGCCACCACACCCCGCTTTGAGCTTTTTGTTGTTGTTGTTTAACCACTTTATTGAGATACAGTTCACATGCCATGCAGTTCACCACTGAAGATGTTGAAGGAGTGATTTTTAGTGATTCGGAGAGATAATCATCCTAACCAACATTTCCATTATCCCTCGTCCCAAATAATTCTGTCCTCAGTGCAGTTCCCCACAGTCCTTTTCCCCCCAGTCCTAAACTAGAGCTGCGTGTTCTGTACATTTCACATAAATGGAATCACACAGCACATAGCCCTACTTTTGGTTTTGTGGTACAGGGGATGGAACCCAGGTGCACGCCCATGCTCCTGTCTCAGCCTCCCGTCTTTCGGTTTTACTCGGGTTTCTGTCCTTGGTCTGTGCCTGGGAATGGGGCTGCACTTCTGTGGTGAGTCTCGGGTTTTAGGGAATCGCCACACTGCCCTCCATAGTAGCGCCACCACATTAACAGATTTCATTGTAAACCAAAGCTGTATTCCTGATCCCTAAGCTGGTTA